TGGTGCTAATCTGAGTACTGTGCTTAAATCTAGGTACCATAGAGGTAGAGGTAAGGCCATCCAAATAATTACCATGAAAGTATTTATAGAAAAGGCACAGGGAAGCTATGTTATGATGGTGGGAGTGTAACTGAAGCTGAAATGTCAGGGACAATACCATTGCAGATTCTTCTTTGGATTTTGTCAAGAATCTCTAAATATATAGCAAGTGCACCAGACCATATATGACAGTGATATTCAAAGCAAGGATGAATGGAAGAATTATAAAAAAGTAAAGAGATAAAAACAAATAATTACTTAATCCAGTGGTTCCCACACTTGTTTTCTTTGGGCCGCATTTTTGAAAATAAAATTTGCTTAAGCGTCACCAAATTTTGTGTGAGAAAAAGTACATTTAGAAATTAAAAAACAGAGAGAGGGTTAAAGGGAGACACTTGCAGATTCGAAGTTAGAACATTATAATTGATAACTCTCTCCTCCAATTTGCAGACCCTAGTTACTATATTCTTAATACTTGATATAATACAAAAATATCACAATAATAAAATTGGTCAATAATTATTTATAACTATTTATACTGGGACTCATGCATGCAATTACAAGTCATCCCTGATAATATTTTAAATTTTTAAACCATATTTAATTTTTGGCATATGAATTTTTTTGAAATTGTTTCTAAATCTTTGTCTTTCAATCATTCTGCCTCACCTGCTATCCTCTTCTGCCACACCTATGAGGCATGCCATACCATTTGGGAACCATTGATTTAACCAAAGGAAATCAAAGTATAAACATTTTATTTTGTTTTCTACACATTTTTATGACCTGGAAAAATGAACAGTTCTTTTTCTTAATTGGAAACTCAACAATTTTTAATAACTTCTAAATGGTGGTGCTGTTTGACTGGAAATATATGAAGGAAATATCTTAGAGACATTCATTTCTGGATCTGGACATGGAGTTATCATCATAATTGAAATAATGCCTTTTGAAAACAAGATGGTTTAGCCACTGATCAGGAAGGAACAAATAATGAATTCGGCAATCCAAAAAACACGACCTCAAAAACAGGAGTGCTGGCAGAAGAGGTTCACCAAATTCACTGAAAGGTCTCGGATCAATCCCAAGAACAAACTTGCTACAGACATTGGACGTAATGGAGAAGAGAAATACATGCCGCCTTAGAGCAAGGATCAACAATTAAACATACAAAAGACACTCAAGAAAAGCCAAAACTGGGATTAAAAAAAATTAAACAAAAATGAACAAATTTGAATAAATAAGCCAAATTACAAGAAGTTAGTATTTGTCTGTGAGGGCAGACATAACACAAAATCAGTGGGGGGGCTGATATGTGGGTCGAAGTAAAAACTGTCAAGTTCAAGAAATCTTTGTTTATATGTTATAATGATGAGAATAGAAATTTATTAGATTGTTTTTATTGGTTGTTTTCTGGTGGACAGCAAGTTTTAAACTGTTGCTAATGTGGTGTAGTTTGATATCTAAGAAAACTAAGGAATTGTCTTCTTCTATTTTATATGTAAATTCTGTTGTGTGCGACTTTGTGTAGTTTATCTACTAGGTCAGGTAGATGTGTATCAAGATGATATATAATAGAGCCTCATCAATATATATCGGAAGCACGTTGTAAGCAAGCTATACTTTTATACACAGTGGGCAACACATCTGAGCACACCTGTCTGCTGTGTTACTTTCAAACTTGCAGAATAAAAAGAGGGAGAAAAAAATAAAAGCAAACAAACACTTTTTTCTTACTGGGATCTTCAACCTGCTGCCCTCGAAAATGAGAGAAATAATTTGTCCCAAAGAAAGCATATTGCTGAAAAACTTTAAAAATACTATTGATAATTACTTGCATTTATTTGAACTGTTATCCTCATCTTTATTGCCATATTCACAACGTTTCGGCCATTGTATGCCCTGGCTTTCTTCAGGTGATTAGAATTTCAAACTGAACCCTTTATTTCGTCCACCAGGGGAGATTGCACTAGTTCCACGTGCCATGCCTCTTTGGATGTCTCAGTTATTCCCTTTAACTCATTTCATACCAGGCCACAGCAGGGGTTAACCAAAACTTGGAGAGTTGAGTTAAAGGTAATGAAGATGTGGATAACAAATAATGTAAATAATGCAAGTAATCATAATACCTCATCTCAGAGATATAGAGGCCGAAACGTTGTGAATATGGCAATGAATATGAGGATAACAATGTAAATAATCTAAGTAATCATAATACCTCATCTCAGAGATATAGATAGCTATTGATAATTATGTAAGAAAATGAAGCAAAGCTTAAATATTAGACTAGAGATAAAGTTTACAGCCAAGAAGATGACATCTGTTGATGACCTGCAGTGAAATAACTGCTGTAGATATATTTTTCTTTAATTGTAGCTGAATCTATTTGGACAGGTGTCTTTATTCAGTTCGTTACAACCATAACACTTTGGCTTTTGTATCTTTTAGACTTCTTCCCAGGTGTTTCATATTTGATAACTTACTGAAATTTTAACCAAACACTTTATTCAATCCACAGTAGTAGACGGTCTTCTCCATTGAAAAATTTTTCTTTGTTAACTACCATTTTCCAATAAAACTCGAGTGTTCAAATAACTGTTGCATATGTGTGGATCAATAAGTTCACAGACTGGTGTGTTGCAGTTAGCTGAATCTTTATCTGAAATTTTCACTGTATATTGTTTGACCTATGTGATTAATTATTGTACTGAATTAAGTGCATTGACATTGTATAAAAACATATTAGTAAGTAAGTAAGTAAGTAAGTATTTGTTTAAAATAAATAGGTTTTTCATCATTAGGCTATATATATATATATATATATATATATATATATATATATATATATTTATTAAAGACATATTTTTATGTTTAACGTTGTTATTTTATAGATACAAGTATTTAAGCAAATGCTCTGTTTATGATAAACAGTATTAAATAACATTTACCGGCCTGAATGTCCGAGAAATTTTCATAGAAAATTTTCGTTCTTTGACAGGATTCGAACCTGTATCCTATCTGGAACCGTCATATCGCTGACGTGCCTTTACCGTTTGAGCTACAAAGAACCAATCGGTAGACAAGGTCAATTTACTGCTTATAAACTCCAACTTTCCATGAATCTCGTACATTCATAACTGCTCTGGCGTATCGAATGTAAACAAATGACGTCATATATTAAGAAATGGACAAGGTCCGACAATTTATTTATTAAAGACATATTTTTATGTTTAACGTTGTTATTTTATAGATACAAGTATTTAAGCAAATGCTCTGTTTATGATAAACAGTATTAAATAACATTTACCGGCCTGAATGTCCGAGAAATTTTCATAGAAAATTTTTCGTTCTTTATCATAAACAGAGCATTTGCTTAAATACTTGTATCTATAAAATAACAACGTTAAACATAAAAATATGTCTTTAATAAATAAATTGTCGGACCTTGTCCATTTCTTAATATATATATATATATGATCTAAATAAAGTGATACAATCAACCATATACATGAGTGATTACATAAACATACAGGTGAGTAAATAGCTATTTTATCAAAACAGTGCTCAATGTAGTTAAACAGAGCTATAAAGTATATATATATATATATATATATATATAGGATTAATTCAAATATTAGATTTGTCACTTAGCTGATTGATGTTATATTCAGCATCCTGACTCACTCCAGAATTTCATAGATGAACATTTTTGTAATAGTTTGGTCCTTTCATTATGAAGTTTCAGCAACTGACTGCAGATTTTCTTATACTAAGTTAAAAAAATAATATATATATATATATATATACCCACAATAGATATCAAATTTCATGCCACACCCTGTGTGTGTGTATGTATGTATGTATATATATATATATATATATATATATTTGTTGAAACTCTTTGCAGAATAATGGGGGTGCACACTGAGATTTTCTTCTGTGTGAAATGAGTCCTATGTTGGATCTGAAGAGATGTCTGCAGCCACTGCAGAGCAGGATAGAAGTTTCAGGCGGTGAAGAGCTCTGGCCTTTTTTGGGACTCTCTTTGTCTCTTCTATTTGTCTTCTGGTGCTTTTGAAGGATGTGGTTTTTTCGTGGACTGCTCTTCTCCAATTGGTTCTTTCTGCAACTTTCGTGTTGCAATGACCGAATTGATTTCTGTGCTGATCCTTGAATCTAGAATGTGGGGATAGATTTCTCATTCTGCTGTCCATGTCAAGGGGAGATAACTCGTTTTATTCTCTTTTTTTAAATAACTACTCAAAGATTGATTTTTTTTTCAACAGATTCTAAGTCTGTATTATCTGGCCCAGGGATTGAACTCACAATTACTATGCAACTAAATTTATGAACTAACACTAGTCCCAGATTGACAAGCACCTGATGAAGGCTGGAGGGCACAACTATGTGATAACAACAACAAAGATGATGACAATAGTCTGACTGTAAATAATGATAGCTCCTCATCCCAGAAATTCCGACAAAAAAAATATAAAAATTGTGTGTCTAACACTCATTCAATAAATAAATAATCTTGAAATTGAAAAAAAAAAAAAAAAGTGGCAGAGGTGCTATGTAAATGTTTTGTTCTGTATGTTGGCTAAAAGTAAATGGTATATATATATATATATATATATATATATATATATATATAGAGAGAGAGAGAGAGAGAGCGCATTAAGCCAAGAAAATTTAATCATTGGGTGTTGATACTTTTTTGGGTGTGTCTACAATCATTTTCTCCACCTGACAAAAAGATCAGTTATGAATGGATAATCAATCATCAAATCTTTCATTTTGACAACAAAAGAAAAAAAAAAAAGAAAAAGAAAATTACATTTCCAACCAAACCATATTCTTTTCTCATATCATTTGCCATCTTCACTGATTACATTGAGATCTTTTTTTTTCATTTCTGTTTCAGTTAACTCACATTTTTTACAACTTGTATTAAGACCAATTTATTTGCCCTCAACCACTTTGTCCCGAGCGATGACCGATTCATCAAACTTAATCATGAATGTTGTTCCCTTGTGCCAGTGAACCGTCACTTTGGCTGGCTGCAAAAGAAATGAAAAAAAAAAAATAAATAAATATCAATTATTATTTCATGGCATTGAAGACTATTACCTCCATTGCTATCACCAACCAATTCTTAAAATTTACACTAAGTCCTACAGAACAAACTATTATTTTTTACTTAGAAGGCTGTGCTTGATAATTAGTCGAGTGAAACTTGAATTTTATTTCAAGTCTCTATCAGATTATCTAACTGATAACAATTTGGGTTGATTCTTTTGTATAATAGTAGCTAGGAGTATTTTGCATATTTACTTACAATGAGTACTTTATAGTATTTTTGTATTATTTACTATTTTCTGCTGTTGATAGCTGTATTTTGGTTGTTTGCAATATGATGATTAATATGAACAAGAATTGTACTAAATTTTCTAAGTGGCAAGATAACCTTTAAAACAGTGTGGCACATGTATAGCCAATGTAACAATTTAATATTTTTTATTATTGATATTGGAGATGCAATTTAAAATTGTGATAAATAATATAATAAAATATTTGATACATTCTTTAGTGGAACAGCCAAGCTCAGTGAAATTGTTCTACAGATGATGTCATTTGAATGATACTTGTATATTTGAATTGGAATTGTAGCATTAAAAAATATTTATAAAGGGTGTTCCAATAACTTGAACCGATTTTAAATGTGAATTAAGTTTAAGCATCTAATGATTTTTTTCATTTTCTTTCAGATTTGGTTGGTTGGGTTTTATGGCATATCAACCACTGTAGGTCATTTAATGCCAAATTTAGTTTATATATATATATATATATATATATATATATAAAATTTTTTCCGAATTTGAAGTGCTATCTTTGCAGTTGTGCAGACTGGTGCCTTGTTCTGCTGACTTGCTTTCTAATCTTAAGGCTACTCTCAACAGCTCGGCGCATACTTATGCACTAACTCCGGTAGCCCTTTCTGAGTCCAAGTGGAGTCAGCAGCACCGTTCCGTAGTCAGGAATTTAAAGGCAAATAACAACTTGGTTATTACTCGTCCTGATAAGGGGGCTGGTATTGTTCTATTGGATCATTCTGATTATGTCTCTAAAATGCAATGCATTATTAGTGACACCACTAAATTTCTTCCTCTTGGTCCAGCAGAAACACATGATCGTACTATTCCTTTAGAAATTAAGTTTCAAAAGAAACTTTTATCCTGGGCCAAACGTGGCTTAATACCTCGTGAAGTTATAGATGATATTAGACCTGTTGGATCTATTCGTCCTCGTCTATATGGCCTTCCTAAAATTCATAAGGAAAATGTACCCCTTCGACCCATCTTGTCTATGTCAGGCTCGTCTCAACATAAGGTTGCAAGTTTTCTTTCAAACCTTCTTCAACCAGTTGTTGAACACTTTAGTTTGTATACTATTAAAGATTCTTTTTCGTTTGCTCAGATTATTCGTGATACTCCTTCTAAAAATAAATTTATGTGTTCTTTGTTTACTTGTGTTCCAGTGTTGGAAACGATTGATATTTGTTGCAACATGTTATATCGAAGTAGCTTGTCACCTCCGGATATCCCTGAAATGGTTTTTGTTGAGCTTATGAAATTTGCTACTATGTCTGTCGAGTTTAGCTTTAACAATTTCATGTACAGACAGATAGATGGGGTAGCTATGGGCTCTCCTTTGGGTCCCGCTTTGGCCAACATTTTTGTCGGCTTCTATGAGTCGTCCCTCCTCACTTATGACAATGCACCGTCTATGTACCAACGATATGTGGACGATACATTTTGTCTCTTTAATAGTGAAGTGGAAGCTGATTCTTTTCTTACAGTTATGAATCAACTTCATCCATCCTTAAAATTCACCATTGAAAAGGAGTCTAATTCGTGTCACTCTTTTCTTGATGTACTTGTGCATCGGACTCCTTCTCAATTTTTTACATCGGTGTTTCGTAAACCAACGTTTTCAGGTCTGTATCTGGCGTTGGGACTCATTTTGTCCCAGGAAACATAAAATCAATCTAATCAAGACACTAACTCATAGGGCCTTGATGATTTGCAGCTAAAAAAATTTTTGGATGAAGAATTTAATTTTATCCGCCACATTCTATTACAAAATGGATATCCTAATGATATATATATATATATATATATATATATATATATATATATATATATATATATATACAGGACTTGTAAATGCCTATAAGCTAGAGCTTATTTGCTTGCAGACTGCAAAATAATTCCAGGTATTACTGTCTAGGACAAGGATTTCCATTTAGTATAGACAATTTATTTGCACAATGTTAAAAGGTAGCATATATTAATTATACATCAGACTATATCCTTGAGAAAAGACCAATTCTTTTCAGGAAGTTTATTATATGACTTGGATCAATTTTTGTAAATAGTTCCTTTGTACTCTTAATGTTGTAGAACATTTTTCAAATTTCAGATTTGGTGGACATTTGGGTGATATTATTTTTCACACATAATTGCCATGACTTAAATAACATGATCCAATAGAGAAATAAATAAATATTCACCAATAACACTGATTTATTTACTTTGATCCATCTTAATGAAACACCCTATATGTATCCAACAGTTAGTTTTGTCTACCATACTAACAACATTCAGTTCTTGATAATGACTGAGGCAAGTGGGGGGGGGATTTAAGAACAAAAACTTTGGACAGTTTATCCATAATTTAGAATTGTAAGTAGAACTTATTTGAAAGTGATAAAAATGCAATAAAAATTTTTCTGTCAGTTTAACTAAAAAAAAAAATGAAACAAACTTGTTTATATATATATATATATATATATATATATATATATATATTATGAAATGAACAAAGTCCAACAATTATTTTAAGACATTTTTATGTTTATACATTCTTTGTATCTATAAAAGAATGTATAAACAAAAAATGTCTAAAAATAGTATAACTTAATAATATAACATAAATCAATTAAAATATTAATTAAAAATATTAATAATGTAACATAACTTCTATAAAAAAATAAATAAATTTAATTTGAAGAAAAAAAAATTTAAAGAAAAATATTTACAACTGGAAGAAAAATTTACAGCTGAAAAAAAATGAAAGATTTAAACAAAAACAAAATTTCATGAACATGCGTGTGTAAAAAATGTTAAATTCCTGAATATGCATGTGTACAACAGAGTAAAAAAGTGGATCGAAAAAAATTTGGGGCAAATTGAAAAAAATTGGAAATATTGTTTAAAACCAGAACCATCTGAAGACTGAAAATTTTACCAAGAATCTACAAAGTTGGGATAAAATTGATATTTAAAAGTAATCTTTTCATATATATATATGTATATATATATCTCCAAGTATATGATTGGTGTATACGGAATAAATTCCAATAACCAACAATTACTATTCTTAAAAGAGTGCTCAATACAATATATAATCAATTATTTTACATTCAACATCATCACTTGATAAGACACCAGAGGTGTTGAAACAAAATGGCTATTTTTGTAGTGATTTTATAACATATTTATGTTATAATTTTTAAATAAAATATTATTATATATATATATATATATATATATATATATATATATTTTTGAACAATAAAAATATTAAAATTAAAATCTTCAGACACACTGGGTTGTATATTAATCTTCTTTTGTTTTTATTATTTCAGTTAGATTCCTTGACTAGTTTCGCCTAACATAGCCATCATCAGGAGAAAAAAATTTCTGCTTGTTAGTAGCAGTGAACTACAGAATTGAATGACTTGATGGGGAAAATGGACTTTTGTCTGTAGTTTTCATTTGTTTTTTTATTTTTTTTTTTACCATGAATTTTGGTCAGTCCTTGTGTTGGTCAGTCTCTTTTAAGTTGTGGATGAGGCTATTGTTATATTTTCTGCAAATATATTATGGGCGATGTTTGGTCGGTTTCCGCCTGTCTTTAAATGAGTCCTAATTAAGCGATGTTGAGCCGTGTTTAGAAACTAAAAAAAATTCTTATCACTCTTGATACACACAAACACACACACACACACACACATATTCAGTTAACAAAACAAAACAAAAACCATCATTGATAATGGTGAATAGAACAACTGAAAGCGCTTGGATATATAGAATATTTGGACAGTTTTTACACATGTTATGTCCAGAAAAGAAAACACTCATACGAACACAAGAAAAATTAAATAAAAAGCTTAATCACAATACCTTGTCAGTTGTGTTTAATTAAATTGCTTGCTGTTAGCAGTGAACTACAGAAATGAATGTCTTGATGGAGAAAATGAACTTTTGTCTCTAGTTTTCATTTGTTTTTTTTATTTTTTTTTACCATAAATTTTGGTCAGTCCTTGTGTTGGTCAAACAGTATCTTTTAAGTTGTTATTTCAGATAAGAGCTAGATGGATTCATGCAGGTCTGAATTCCCTTGGTCATTTTGACAGTTTTAGTGTGTGTGTTCACATTATATATATATATATATATATATATATATATATATATATATATATATATATGCACACAGACACTTAATTATTTTACATCAAAAACATGCCAAAATCGCCACACAAACGCAGTGATGTTTTGATGCACATACAACACAAATTACTGAATGAATTGTAATTACTGAATTAATGAACAATTTATTCAGATTTAAAAAGCAAAATACGAAAAAGAAAAGAGGTGGGGTATAAGTTCAACCAATGAAATAAAACCTGCGTTAAATTTAAACTAAGGACAGAAGTAAAAATTAAGAAATTATTTTCCATAAATGGGTCAAGACCTGTAGGTTTGAAATCAATGACAAGCAAAAGAGGAGCGGATGTGGATGGATATACATATTGAAAAATTAACAAAATCTAACAAAATGCTAGACAAGTTATATATTAATTTATCTAACTTTAGTGGAATTAAGAAAAATGATTCATAGAAAGCTAAAAAGTTTAAATCTTAAGGTTAAGATAATCACTAATGATTTTCTTTAGATTTTCTTGATGTTACAATAGATCTTGTTAATGACATAT